GGGTGAAGATCGGCTGCAATCCTGGCGATGAGAGTATACAACGCTTAAATAAGACCCACCAACTCCTTCTTGCCTTGTTGGACAGTAAGGTAACGCGATCGCACGCTATATGCCTGAGTAGAAGACCAGAAGGCGGCTCCGCACAAAGGACGTCACCCTTTTCTTTCATACCGAGTAAATAATATGGATCAGTTGGAATCTTCAAAATAGCAATTTCTCTGCGTGATTCCAAACGCTTTCGAAATTTCGAGGACCAAATCGTCCACAACCGATGACGAGCAATATTCCGCTGAATAAACATTTAAATTTAGCAACACGGTCTCCACAATAACCTCACACAATTGCGGTCGCGTTGAAAGTCATACGTGAATTTCTCAACCTGCATCAGCTCTTCCATCGTCACCAACGGTGCCAAAAGAAGATACGTTCTGGAAATTTCACAACCGGTCATTGCATCCACCATACCTGGTCAAGCATATTCGCATGCCAAATTCACGGGGAGTAGTACGCTAGCCTAACTCACCCGCAGACACAACCGCATCCAGAGCGGTAGTATCAGTACAACGATCAACAAATTCCGCTGACTCTTTCACATGTGTGTGATCAACCACACAACGGGCGGTAGCATCACCCTTCTAGTCAGTTATATTCAATCCAGCTCGACCACTGTATTGGTGGGAGTAGTGGCATATACAGCCACAGTTGATTACTTCGACTTTCCAGTACACACATATCGATAAGTGGGGCACGAATCCTTGCCAACTGAAATGTTTGATCTCAACAGTAACATCAAGGCGAGGTGCGTGTTCATAGAGCTGTCGTAACGAGGTTACACGTACCCAGAGTGTAATGGGGTTATACATACCCAGGTATGAAGGAGGGGGTCACACAAGATGGTGTGACCGTTCAAAGGTGTGGATTGCACAAGTCGATGTAATCATACCATGGTGTGGCTACACCGAAACAGAAGCCCTTACCTGGCGGGACTGCCAGTAGTAATGCATATGAATTCGGTTTATTTATTAAAGAAGAAAAACCTAAGATTTTAGATATAGGCGGCTCTGCCTAAAAAAACAGAAAACCAAGTTTCAATCTTGAGCGGATGAGTGTGTTTGCCTTGGTTAAGGTTTTCAGTACTCTTGGAGGTAGCGGATTGCGATCCGCTACACTCGTACTGGTTCTGGTATAGAACGAAGGTCGGTGAGCTTAAGTAAGCTTTCTCTAACCAAAGAGCTACGGCGACCCCAACGCAATTGGTAGCTCTCGTAGTCATTCTACGCCTGAATCGTTACGACTGATCTTCTCTGGGGATGGAGCAATTCTTCTATTTGCCCCAGGGCATGCAGGACGGACTTAATAAGCTGATGTACCTGCTTGGATCTGAGGGCGTGCGTCACATTGCTTCGAAACAACTCAAAGCGATAAGTGCGCGCCTTGAGGCGTTTTCAAACTATAAAAAAGCTGTGCTAGTAGAATTTGTCGGCGTCGACTGCATCCATGAAGCCATCGTCGATGACGGATGAGTCCTCCCGAGCCAGACCGCTCATGGTTAGCGTTAAGACCTTCAAGGGTAAGAATGAAGCTAATCTTCTGCTCTGGGTGAGAGAGGTCGAGATGGCTATGGTATCCGCCATGCTCCGGACCGAGCAACAGCATGTGGCACTAGATATCTATAAGCCCGGAGGGCAAGCGCAAGAATGGCCACTAAAAAGCAGTGCTTCGGTTGAAGCGGCGTTACCCTCCTGGAAGAAGCCGAAGCGTCAGATTTTGCGAGTGTTCTTGCCGCCTAACCAGGCATATCGCGTGCGATCGCATTTCCTTTCCTCCCGACAGGGCAAGAAGAGTTGGTGGACTTTGTCGAAAAGTTGAGAACTCTTATTACCGGGATGACAGCCGATCCTCTCCCGGAGGTGGTCACAGTGACCTTCTTTATGGAGGAGCTGCGTACTGGCGTGGTCAGAATAGAAGTGTTTGGGTGTATCCGTATTCTTTTGAAGAAGAGGTGAATGTGACATCGAGTGCCGTATTCAACTTTAAGTCCGCGCAACTTGGTTGAAATGGACACTTAGAGCTCGTCTAGCGGGCTTGAGGCAATGGATCTCAGCTATGCTAAGAAAGAGGAGGGAGAGCTCCGAGCTGCCAAGTAGCGTATAAACACCCGACGGTGTTTTTTTCTGTGGAGACACCCGTCATCTCCAGACTGGTTGCCCCCTGCGCAAGGCGCGTAAAGGTTCATCGAACTGACGCCAATTTGGTCTGTCGCGGGGAAACGAGAAAACCTCGTGGGCGCGGGGCGACCTGATGGGAAGGAACTGAGTTCTGTTGTACCTCAAGAGGTAGAAAGCAGGGCTCAGCCCCGAAGAGCTCCGTGCTCTTGAACATGGAACGTCTATGCAATCCGGGCTTGCTGGTCGTAAAAGCGACTGTGAAAGGCTTTAAAAAGCCATGGAAGATCCTGATAGATCCCGGGGCGTCGGGCAATAATGCCTGACGCTCCACGATCGAAGGAAGTCAGCTGTATGCAGAGGCGCCGGAAGCGCAGCTGAGAATAACCGGCACCGCTTGGTTAACGACGACAACTTGTGTCACGGTGCCGAGGGTCCTTGTGAACCTCGGTGTCAGGTTTATTGACTTTGATAGCGTGGAACGCTGCTTTGGCTTGAACATAAAGAAGGTATGACCTTTTCATTGGTATGGCGTGGTTGGAACACCACGAGCCATAGATTGATTGGAGATCGAAGACCTTGGGCGCTACGTGGACGTCTCTTGGTGGAGCTTTAGTGAGTCATGAACCCACCTCTGCTAGGAAGCAGAAGCGCTATTGGCACGGACACTGGACCGGGACGTTCAATATGCTGTATATCGGAGTATCCGAGTTGTCAAACACCGACGGTGTATTGGACCGGAGTCTCAAGCGTACCTCGCGGGCTGAAAAATGGAGTGGTACGTAATCCACTGAGCGCTTCTCAAGTATAAGAGCAGTCGCTGCTTGCCAAGGGTAGTACGATCAGATGAGGTCTGAGGCATCTTGGATAAGGCCCTTCTGATGCGCTTGGAGTGGCACGTTATCCACTAGATGGAGACTGCGGAAATAGCAGCTCTTCGTTTGATGTTTTATAACATCAAGGCTCTGCCGGAGCAGGGAGTGGGGACACTGGACGACACTAAGTGCGTGTTCCCACTGGTCTCGATGAAATGTAAAATCTCTATAGAGAGAAGACGGCGAAGCGGTATGATATTTGCAAGACGCGGGGCGACGATCCTGACCCATGGTGTGTCTACCGTAGGCGATAGGGCACAGCTATACACCCTTGTCAACGGTATGACGGGAGAGGAAGACGGCAACGTCACCCTCGAGGCTATTCCCGGGGTGGATGCTCTTCTTGAGCCGGACTAGATGTCCTTTGAAGAGTTTGTCGGTGCATTGAAGTCAGTCGATTTAGCGGAGGTGGTCATTAAACTACCGAACGGGGAGATTAATTTGTGAATGAAGCTAACCTGACGGACACCAAGAGATTGCTGAACGCATGGAGTGAATCGTCAATTCTGAAGGATCCCTCGGATCCGTTCCTTCCTGTGGTAAAATTTTTTAGAGACACCGTCTCCAACGACCCGACGTCGGTCCCACCTCCGGATCGTGGTGTACGTCATGTAATCGACCTGGTTCGGAAAAACAAATACAGCGTCACCTGCCAATGGTTTCTGTCCAAGGAGCAGTGTGATGTCATTGGCGCTTATTTCCGTGCAAAGCACTATTCAGGAATGGTGTGTGAGATTAAGTCTCGAGCATGACTCATATATGGACGACGTGGTTTTCCTCATCTGTCCCTCCGCGCCCTGCACAGCTTGGACGAAGATGTCGTCGAAGTGCCCGGTGGGGCCTGAACAATCGCGCCACATGATGATTAAATGTTGCTGATGCATTCGACCGCCCTTGAAGCATTACCAGCCACTCCCAAAGCATCCCGCTCGGAGAACTTACCCGCTCTCATGACACCCATCGATGCGTTGTACTTTGTATAGCCAATCATATTGTCCTGGAGAACATCCTTTCTAGAAATTGGCGTCTGTGCCGTAATGGTGGCAGCGTTTAGGTTATTGTAAACGAAAGCGATACGCCACCTGACTTTCGGCTTCCGGACACAAAAGGTAGGTGTCGAATGGGGAACTCGAATGGAAATGGAGAGACGTGCTAATCTTACTGATGACATGAACCTTGAAAGTGTCAGCATGGACGATATCGACTACAAAATGGGCGTTTTTGCAGACTTTACTCCTATGTCTAAGAGTCCGAATAAGGCGCCACTTAATCGTGTCGTGTTTCGATCGCCACTGCTTTACGATCTGCTTCTTATCGTCGCGTTCTTGTGGTGCCTGGAGTGCATGCGCACGAATGAGCTGTATGCTATTGCAGATAAGCGCATTTTCGGCGCTGAAGTAATCCCCTTTTAGAGTGCTTGATTAAAAAGCGTGGACTTCGGGCGGACCCCGCTAACGTCAAGGCCATTGATGACTGGCCGGCATTGAAACAAAAAGCACGATGTTAACAATATTCCTTCTCACGAGAACTGTATTCTCTACATCAAGGATATTGATATGTGCTATTGCAAGTGACAATGCTCCAAGTGCGAGATGACATTGGCTAGCTCTGACTTCAAAATCGCAAGAAGAACCAATGCGAGCTCGTGAATAATAAATCGTTTCTTGAAGAGATAAGTATATCACCAGTAGTTTTATATCACGGCGCTTAACTTATATTATTAACATCTTGAAACTTACGGTAGTAAAAGAACCGCTCAACCGACAGCGTTCACTATATCGATAGAAACAATACTTTCAGTAAAACATTACCGTGATACATTTATATTATCTTATTTTACGCACTTGTCAGGATTAAAAAGACAGTCAGCACCGTCAACGATGCTTGGTTGTAAGCTTTGAGTATTGTGATATGGTTAGATAGGGACTTGTCCATGCTGGTGTGCTGCCACACTAGATGATTATGAGTTCCCACTTTTGGCTAAGTACTTCGAAATAGCTCTTTCCTCACGGTGCCATTCAACATGAGCAGCAATTGCACCAGGCGATCGAAATCGCGTGTTACATCCTGGACAAGGACACACTAGATCGACTTCATCTTCCGACGACGATCCCGAATCCTGGTTCAGCACCATTTTTAACATAGGTTCGTGTATCTTGAATCCAGGAAGAACATCACCACCGTCATGATCTCCATTCAGTGTTGTCAGAGCATTGCACATTTCCATTTTCGTCGAGATAGTACTCATACATACTCTGAAAGTCTGGGCGTGGATCGATCAGCCAACCCAACTGGATGCCATGCTTAAAATATTCATTTTGCATCTTTCGATCGAGAGCTTGGCGTTGAGAGCCTGAACCAGATACTCAACGACAACAGCAGGGACATAATGTTCACCACGGTATGTCCATATCTGTTCAGGAGTCAATCACCTCGCGGTGTGTAAGCCACGTCGGGCAATCTCACTTTGGGACCTCCAGGAAGCTGCTCTAAAATATACGTCCCCTGTGAGGTTGTCACTCTGCCTCCATTTCTAGTCCACTTTGACCAGTTATAAAGATGCGATGCAATCTTGACCGCCACCTTCTTAATTCCATACACAGCCGTTCGATCTGGGATCAAGTACCTCGTCGATGAAGAAAGCCGGCTGCTCGCCGAAAACGGGGTTCACCAATGGACCGAACTTCTTCACGTAATGATTCAACTGCTCTAGTCCCACTCCAGCATAGTCCTTAACGCAGCACAACATTTTCTTCGTTTCCAAGGCTCAATCTAGTCTCGTTAGGACGTGTCTGCTCATGTTGAATGGCACCGTGAGGAATTACTTAAAATACATTTATGTTCAAGTATAAGCAGTCCTCGAATTCGTCGAAGATTAAAACTGCAAAATAGAGTTAGAGTATAATTGATATCATTGTACGAACATTACTGCTTGAATGCTTGCCAAAAAATTTTACGCTAATCTTTTTTGGCGTCCTACTGCTTGTGGTACGCAATACAGTGAAAGACATACTTATTGTCAGTCATAAAAAATTAATTACACGCGGATTACCTTTGGAATGACAGCTTCCTACCACCCAATGCGTTTTCGCGCTTGTAGATGATGATCTTGAATCCAGTGATAGCCTATAAGAGGCATTCAGACCAGGGTGGGAGTAGCGGGTATCCTTGTCATCGGTTTGATCATCGGTTTGATCATCGGTTTGGCTGACGTGATCGTATCCAAGTGCGAATTTAATCTCAGAAGCAAACTCCCGGCTCGCGAACACGATTTCAAGCTTGCCGTAAAATTCAGCAGGCTAAACTTTCTCGTGTTGATGAGAGTCGACACGGCTTCGTAGAAGCGATACTTTTGGTCAGTCTTGTAGTCGGGATGTCGTGAAAGTTACTACATCAACATTATACTGCTTATCTTAAGCTTGATATGTTGAGGATGAAAGATGTTGCTGACAAACACCATCTTTCCCGTACGACCGCGCCCCTTGACACGATAACTATTGCAAATTGAATTTGTGATCTTTTTACATTTTCGAGCTCATATGCAGTCTGCCGTCTACACACAAGCAATTATATTTTCTTTGTAGATTTGAAATTATATCATACTTTCTACGAAAAAAGCTGAATTTAATCCATTCAACAATAGTCTGAGCTATATAGGACTGACTTTTTAGTTTGAAAACAAAAATAAATTAGCTAAGTTCGGCTTCGGTGTAGAATGCGCATTTTCATCGTAAAGAACGATCTCATACATTCATTTGCAAGTACGGATTTGCTCTCTGTTCTTGTCATCATTCTGCTTTCATATAGGGTAGACGAGTTTTACGAGTGCGCTGGTAGTAGCTCTTCTGCGCTGCTTTTTGTGCTCTTTGTTTGCTTTGTATTGTTCGAGTAAGTATGTCATCCTAGTATATTGCTTGCTATATATTTACAAAGATTAAAAAGTATAATAGGTGAGATCGTTCTTGACGATGAAGAATGCGCATTTTACAGAAGCCGAACTTAGCTAATCAGTTTTTATTTCCAAACTAACAAGTCAATCGTATATAGCTCTGACTTGTTCTGAGAAATTAAATTGAGAATTTTCTGTAGAAGGGTATGATATAATAGGTGAGGTCGTTCTTGACGATGAAGAATGCGCATTTTACACCGAAGCCGAACTTAGCTAATCAGTTTTTATTTCCAAACTAAAAAGTCAATCGTATATAGCTCTGAATTGTTCTGAATGAATTAAGTTGAGAATTTTTTGTAGAAGAGTATGATATAATGTCATCCTGATTCAAAGTTCATTAAATATTAGTTTAATACTGCGGCCTTGATGTGCGGTGGTCGTATACTCACTCATGTGAGAAATCACAAAGCTCGCGGAAGCGTTATGGATTATTCCATGTTTCACAGGGCGACAATACACAGGAAGTGGCGTTGCGCCTCGAGTCTAGCAATATCAAATCGAAGATGGCATTCTACGCGTACGTCATCTTCCTTGTGGCTCCGCTGTAAGTGAGACAGTGAGAAATGTTCCGGTGCCGCTGCCTTCATCGCTCAAAGAGCTCCTCATCATCTGCAGCGAATCAGCCAGGGGTGAGCACATCAGGAATAGTCAGCATTGCGGTTATAGGAGTGCCTCCTGTTTGAGCGCGAAGTCGACCGCGGTACCTATCCGTTGGTTTTCTCGAGGTACCAAGAAGCAAGCTCGGAGAGCTTTTCGCTGGTCAAGCTCAGCTTGTGTGGCGGCTGGGGCCCCGACTACGTAGACGCCTAGCAATCGAGTGATGGCGTCTTTCGTCTCAGTAGCGGGATTCGCCGAGTAGAAGCCGTATTCCACACGATGGTCTACGACCAAACGTGAATACGAGCGCTTGAGAACCGCTCTGAGGACAGCCTCCAACAGCTGCTCCTGTGCCTCGTCGAGGCGATTGGAACTAATACCACTTTCCTGGAAGTCGAGAGGTCGCGGTGTTTGCAAGGTGCGAGCAGGGCTCACGTCGCGCCGTTGGCGCACTTCATCATTCTTCTCTTCTGAATATTCGACTCGTAGTCGACTTCCTCGACGAGGAAATTCGTCGCCCGTGGTGGTCGCGGTGTGTGGCACCTGGTTGCCGAGGGCTTGCGATGTGCTTTTTGTGAAGCTGCGGACGTACTGGCTGGAGATGCACTGTGTAGAAGACGAAGAAGGGCTCTGCCCGCGGGCGCTCTCGGAATCAGCGAGACTGTGTTTTTTCGTGTCAAAGACACAGGGCTTGTTAAGCGGGGAATGTGTAAGAATGGTCCTAGGATCGTAACGGTGTCTCAGACATGTGAGCCTCGTTTGAGGCGACAGTTAAATTTGAATAGTGGGCATTCACAATGTTGATGGGGAGAGTGTAACGGGGTTTCGTGTAACGGGGTGTTACGGTACCTGGTATGAAAGGTGGGTCACACAAGATGTTGTGACCGTACAAATGTGGATCACACAAGTCGATGTAGTCACACAATGGTGTGGCTACACCTTAACATGAAGCCACTACGTTGCAAGACTGCCAGTAGTTATGCATATTGATATTGGATATTGGCGGCTCTGTCGTAAATAAAACAGATAAATACAGATACAATTTCGGACGAAAGAGTGTATTTGCCTTGGTTAAGGTTTTGGGTAGTCGTGGAGGTAGCGGATTGCGATCCACTACACTCATATTGGTTCTGGTAAAGGTCTGTAACGGGGTTACATGAGAGTGACCCGTCACTCTCCCAAGGGAGCTGTGGTGTGG